CTTAAAGATTCATCTATATTTAATTTAGAATTTAGTGTTTGACAACTTTATTCAATTTCTGTATAGGCCTATTTCCTACTTGCTGACTGTAGCTAAATATGACATCTATTATGTGTTTATGTGAATATTGTTTTAAGATCACTTAAATTAGAAGTTATTTTTTTAGTCTAATATTTTTAGTCTGTTATTCTTTAAGTCCTATAAATGTTAAAATTGTTAGCTCTCAACTATATAATCAGTGGTTAATTATTAAGGGGAAAAAAAACTTATTTCATATAGACATCAGAAGTATTCTGCCGTGCAAAGGCAAAAGACCGTATTTTTGTCGAAAATTAGTTATTGATATTTTTGTGACATTCAAGACATCCTTTATCATGTGCATAAGTATCTTGAGTCAATTTCGTTGTTTTTCCGAGAAAATAATGGGTCGTCTCAACTGTAACTTCAAAAAGCCCCAGAGAAACCAAGGCAGAACACCATATAACACCAGTTATGGTTCTTTCACTTTGTTTGGATCGCTCAAATTGAGTTACGGCGTTCTGCCTTTGTTTAACTGCGCGTCAAAATGAAGTTATGGTGCCGGTTTGGAGTTATGCAGTGTTCTGCCTTTTTTTTTACTGTACATTAAAGTCTGCTGCATTTTAATTACGATGTAGACAAACTTATTAAATAGTTTGCGATCTACCAAAACAGCTCCATATAACAAAGCACTGTAAACACTAGATACATTGGCAGCAATAGGCTACGTAATCGTGAATAACCTTTAAAGATTTTTTTTTTCTTTTTGTAATGCAGATTATTCACCAGGCTGTCACTTAGTTGGACGCGTGTGGACTCGAATGCTGTAGCTAGCGTGATCAATCAGAAAATCAGTAGCCTACTAACAGTTCGCAATTAAATCCATATCCTACCTTTTCTTGTAACCCGATAAAATCAATCCATGGCGATGAACGTCATTGGAGATGTTTAATCCATTCTGAGCATTATTCCTGCTTGCTGGCTTTCACATCAATCCACAAGTCATTCTTTTAGTTTAGGCTATTTAATACAAGTCAATATAAAAGCAATTATGCTATGTCTAGCATTCTTTTATGTTAATGAGCATAGCAAATAAATTGGTATCCACTCGCGTTTAACTTTTAGTCTGCTTGTTACGGTCAAAAAAAAATTTAATACAGTCACATTACTATATGCAATAGCCTATATGAGATAGCCCATGATCACTAGATTTTGTACAGGTGTTACTATAACGATTTTGTAAATGGTGATCAGCATCCAAATATTGCTAATGTGGAAGTTACTGCCTTTTGCCTTGGTGTGACTTCTCACATTTTGCAGACAATGCAAAGGAAGAGTACATTCACTTCAAAATAGGGGTAAAAATCAAGTTTGAGCTCACAATTGTTTAATGTAGATCATTTTCATTACTAAAACATCTAATTGTTTAATTTCCAGTGTCCTACCTATAATTAATTTGGCTGCACATTGTGCACAAGTAAAAAACTTTAAAGTAATTTTTCTCAGTTTCACACTCTAGTGAGTTACGGTATTTTGCCTTTGTAGGGCATTATTGGTATCAGTGATCAGTGATATGCCACTAAACAAATATTAAAAATATATACTGTCTTTGTTGTTTCTACATTAATTTGATGAAAATCTGAATACATTTTTTTTATTTGATTAATTCCAGAATTTTTTTTTTGCGATTTTCTTAATTGCTTTTTATCGATTAGACAGCACTAATAATTAGGGATGCCCCGATCAATCGACCGGAGATCGGTATCGGCCAATAATCACATTTTATGACTCGATCGGTACTCACTACACTTGGCCGATCTCACGAACCGATCACAATTTGATGACGTCAACGCGTGAGGACGTAGATGATATCGCCGGTGTGGAAATGCTATGACGTTTCGAGACGCAGGGAAAAATTTGCCATTTGTCGTGTATGTTTTGCATGATGCTATTATGAATGGATGGTTCATTTTTAACAGCAGATTCAGTGACGTTAGAGCTGATCTGTGCCTCACTGCACACGTCTGCAGCACGTTCGGGAATCAGAGCTGATCGCATCTGCTCTAGTCAGTGCTTGTGTTTATACCGGCCAGCTGTGGCATGTTTCTGAAGCGGCTCTCTGCCCTACTTGGATAAAAATAGTCTTTTGTGAGTTGGTACCACGTGGAGGATGGAACAAAACCTAACCTTAGCCATAAGGGGTAACGGTAACATAATACGCTGATCGTGGGCTGCTTTTAAATGAACATTTATTTATAAAACAAAATATCTTCTTTGGCCATATTAACCTACTCCATAGCATTAACACAGGCTTTACTTCTTTCAAACTTTATTTGGAATGTCACCGTAACTTCCCGATCAGGCGAACACACACAAATGAAATCGTCTGCCTGATGAAAAATGTATTTAAAAAAATTTAGTTAATATTTGCATCATTTGATTTATTTTATCAACCCGCAAATAATCGGTTTTTGTATTACCCGACCCGCGGATTATCCGCAGCGCCCGTGAATATAACCCTGATCAAACTACTCCTTTTTGTTCTTTCAGTAATGTTTCTAGCCTATTAGGGTTGTGACGGTGAGGACATTTTCCCACCGGTTAATCGACTTGTGACAACACCGGTAATACCGGTATCACCGTTGGGGAGGGGGGTGTTAGTTCTTTTGAGTTTCCCTCTTTTCTTAGCTTTCAAATGGCTTGTAAAAGTACCGTGCGCATTTTACTTTCACTTTCAAATTAGCAGCAATTGAATTGCTGCAATTCGGCGTCAAGCAATTGTTCGTTTGAGATTTCCCTCTTTTCCTCGCATTTCTTGGCTTTCAAATAGTCAAGTTTATTTGTACAGCGCTTTTCACAATACAAATCATTGCAAAGCAACTTTACAGCAAATTAAGTTTCTACAATATTTAGTGGTAGTTTATCAGTGATGGCTGTCAATGTACATATGGCAGAAATGTACGGAAAAATCTATTTAAGATGTAATCAAACAGACGATGAACACTATTAACAGTAATTATTATATGATGCATGGGGAGGGGGGTGTTAGTTCTTTTGAGTTTCCCTCTTTTCTTAGCTTTCAAATGGCTTGTAAAAGTACCGTGCGCATTTTACTTTCACTTTCAAATTAGCAGCAATTGAATTGCTGCAATTCGGCGTCAAGCAATTGTTCGTTTGAGATTTCCCTCTTTTCCTCGCATTTCTTGGCTTTCAAATAGTCAAGTTTATTTGTACAGCGCTTTTCACAATACAAATCATTGCAAAGCAACTTTACAGATATAGCAGCGACACTGCTGACTACATTTATCAGCAGGGTAAAAATGGTGCTCTCTTCCTCCAGTTCCAAAGTACCATTTTCCAACAAAATGCTGCATAATTTTTTGTTGTTGTTATGAGATGAAACAATAATAATTATTCTCCTAAACTGTCCTTTCGCAAACTGCTCCATAATTTTTTTTAAGAGAAAAAATCATTTTAATGCTGTTCTTTTGAACTTTTTATTCATCAAAGAATCTGAGTAAAATGAATCACAGTTTCCACAAAAATATTAAGCAGCACAGCTCTTTTCAACATCGATAATAATCAGAAATGTTTCTTGAGCAGCAAATCAGCATATTAGAATGATTTCTGAAGAATCATGTGACTGAAGATTGGAGTAATGATGCTGAAAATTCAGCTTTGATCACAGGAATACATTACTTTTAGAAATATATGAAGTAGAATACAGTTATTTTAAATTATAATAATATTTCACAATATTTTTTAACTGTCTTTTTAATTAAAGAAATGCAGCCTTGGTGAGTATAAAACATTTCAAAAAGTCTTTAATACAATTCTTACCAACCCTAAACTTTTGAATGGTGGTAGTTTATAATAGCTATTTTGTCTGAGAAATTTATAGTTAACTGCATACAATGATAGCTTGATTATACTGTAACTACATAAAAATATAGGAATTCATCCTTTTAGCTAGTAAATTATGAATAACAGAGTTTAGGAGAGCACAGAAATGTTTCCGGTTCTATCAAGTTAGCTTTGTTTTGTTAGCATGTTTTGAGAAAATGCAGCAGGGTAAAATGTAGAAGCAAGCAAGATGAAGTATGAATTATTGTAGGTACTTCTGTAATAAAGGCTCATTTTCAATTTAAGACCATCAGTCAGTCAATGTAAGGTGACAGTCAACATTTAGACCAGCTACTGAGCCTGTGTGACTCTCCGTTGAGGCCCAGACTGGCTCTTATCTGGAGGGAACCTCTAATCACTCAGACAGACTGAATGCTGGTCAAGAGCAGTGGAAGATTGGGTTAGCATGTCATGAAGACACGTCAGTTCTGTTGAACACCCTCCTCCTCTGCTAAATTAGTCACTAACAACAATCTGGTCTATTATTGGACTACTAGCCAGCCATCCCGTCCCATTCCTAGAAATCTTCAATTTTCCTATTAGCCTAGAACTAGCTGAGGCAGCACTATAAAAAAAAAATTATATATGTGAATTTTACATTAAAAAAAAAAAACCCGGCAGCTGTGGATGCCAGAATTTAACCATTTAATATTAAGAGTTTAGCGTTTTTTGTTTTCACAAACTAAAATTTTATTTTTTTTTTACCTTTTTTAATATACTGACAACCACCTTAAAAACTCAGTTGATAAAGAGAAATTAAAGTTTCTCAATAGATTTTCCACAAGCTTGAGGTAAATACTAATATATAGCAGGTGCACAATGTCATACAAAAAAATACAAAACACCACCGTGGTGTAAAACTTGACACAAGAATAAAGCAATAAACATTAATTTAACAACATAAGATGTAACAAAACCCTAACGTACATAATTGATGAGGAAAAAATTAAAGCTGATACTTATTTCAACGAAAAACCATCAAATGTAAGCTGGGATTCTGGGAATGTCAATTTACGTTCTTTTTCGCTGTAAATTATAAGAACATTTTTAATTTTTCACTTCCAAAAACTGTACATCTAACAGTATTTTACTGCAAAATTACCTAAAATGTCTCATTGGATTTATATATACACACGTATATACACGCACACTTTTTTTAAATAATAAACTTCCATTATCTTTTTTTATAGTGAGGCTTATTAACTGTATCAGATTCAAGTTTTGCCCCCCTGAATAACTATGATGTATATAAGAATAACTATTCTTTTGTCCCAGCGTGGTGATGACTGGATCCTACAACAACTTCTTCCGAATGTTGGACCGCAGCCAGCGGCGGGACGTCACCCTGGAGGCTTCGCGCGAGAGCTGCAAGCCCCGGCAGGTGCTGAAGCCTCGCAGGGTTTGCGCAGGCGGCAAGCGAAAGAAGGATGAGATCAGCGTGGACAGTCTGGACTTCAACAAGAAGATCCTACACACCGCCTGGCACCCGCAGGAAAATATCATCGCCGTGGCAACCACCAACAACCTCTACATCTTCCAGGAAAAAGTGAACTAATACTGTCATCATGGGGAAAGGAAACCTCTGAACCTCTCTCTCTCTCTCTATGTGAAAATGAAAAAAAAAAAGAACTAGCAAAAATCATTTCTGTGACAGCCACCATCATCACATAACCAACCTTGGCCCACTCCAGGACAGAATGAACTAGTCGAGCCAACTAGTGGCAGCCAATACTGAGTAAACTGGTTCAGACTGGTCTGGAGAAGAGCACAACCTGGCTTCGGCCTCTGTGGCACCATGACACGCGCCTTGCTCTGGTGATGTTGTGCCAACCTGTGTCTGTACCCTCCGTCCCTTTTCCCCTTACCCACAAGTCCGAGCCCAGGGATGAAATAGACGGCAATCTCTTGACAGATTTCAACCATATGTTTTTTTTTTTGTTTTTGTTTTTTATTTTGGCTTTGGTTTATTCAAGGTGTCTGTATAAAAACTCATTTGAACTCATGTGGATGTGTCCCTGTGTCCTTTTATCCTCCATATGTTGTTTGTGCCATTGTAACTGTTTTTAATCTTATCAGAGAAACTGCCAAGTTGTTTAGTTTTAATTTTGTTTTAATTTTCTTAATGTGTAATTTTTTTTTTTGTTCTCATTACATTTCATACTGTCCCGTTACACTCCATTACAGCTACAAAAGGTTACGGCTGTTTCTTTTCAGATATCCACACACTCATACCCGCCATCACATTGGTCCAAAGATCTTTTCCTGTTCTTTTTTTTTTTTGTGGCATAGACGGCATTGCCGTGTTTGCTGTAGTAGTGTAACATCTACGCTTGTTCAAGCATATACACTCCAGTTGGACTGCTCGTTCGTGTACGAGTCATTCAGCCTTACAGGGTTTATTTTCCTTTGTGATCCATGTCCGATTTCTGTCTACACTCTCTATCTCAAGAGTTACAAAGTGAGAAAGATTATAGAGATTATGATATCAAAATGGTATTTATAAACGGAACAAACAATAAAATGAGAGTTGTGTCTTCTTTGAATATGCAAAGCATGCCTAGTGCAAAACTGAAAAGCTTATTTAAAGGATTTTGAGAACCATAAATAATGCTCTGCACTTGACCATTTAGATAAACGGTGAGTTTAAGTGTTGCTTCAGGATTTTAGTGCCGAATGTCCTCATGAATGGTCAGAATGACTGTTCGAATGTAAATTATAATAATAACAGTAACCTTATCTAAATGGTAAGTACATGCTATTGATCTATGTGTGGCTTTCTACCTTTTTGGCAGGGCAACTGTCCTGCAGAATTTAGCTCCAACCCTAATCAAACACGTGAACAAGCGAATCAATACTGTCTTCAAGATCACTAGAAAGCTACAGGCAGGTGTGTTTGATTATAAGGTTGGAGCTAAACTGCAGGACAGTGGCACTCCAGGACCGAAGTTGCCCATCCGTTTAGTAACTACTGCAATACTGTATAACCATTGATGGAATTTTCCGCTTTCTGTGTTTTCACTGGTGTACTTTAGGAGGCGCTATTGTGCATCTTCTGAAAGTATTGAACATCTGGATCAAAACAGCAAAGAAGCACCAAAAACAAGTGATCGCGTATGTAAGCAGATTAATATGTAAAATAATATGTTCATAGAGCATTTAACAGCATATAAATCAAAACAGCCTAACTTAACCGAATGAAGTGACGATCCAGGAAGTGGTATAGGACCATGCATGCTGTGGATGTGTTGACAGAAGCAATCTATTTTATCTATGTGTTGATCTTCGTTCTGAAGCTGATCCAGAAGTAGTATTTACAAAAACACAATATTCTCAGGATTTTGATCAAAATGTTGCTTTTATCATGAAACCTACCCACAGTGTTGATAAAAATAGATTGCATGACGCTAGAATAAAAAGGTTTTTTTTTGTTTTGTTTTGTTTTAAGCAGAGGCTCTGTTCTTTGTTTTGACATTGCATGTTCAGATATTCATACAAAAAAATAATCAGGGTGCCATTAAACTTTTGTGAAAAAGATCAAAAATGCTGGTGGTGGCTGGCATTTTTTTTAAGAGTTAAGTAGTTATTAGTAACTAAAGGATACGCACTAAACTAGTGCAATTAGCAACAATTGCAGTATATACTACTTAAAAGTGAACAGTAAAGGGAAGTTGTGGCCTAATGGTTAGAGTCGGACTTGTAACCCAAAGGTTGTGGGTTCGAGTCTTGTACCAGCAGGGATTGTAGGTGGGGGGAGTGAATGTACAGCGCTCTCTCCCACCTTCAATACCACGACTGAGGTGCCCTTGAGCAAGGCACCGAACCCTCAACTGCTCCCCGGGCGCCGCAGCATAAAATGGCTGCCCACTGCTCTGGTTGTGTGTTCACTGCTCCGGGTGTGTGTGCACTTTGGATGGGATAAATGCAGAGCACTAATTCTGAGTATGGGTCACCATACTTGGCCACGTGTCACTTCACTTATATGAACCACCGATGCATACAAAAATCAATGGCTAAAATTTACAATTTGTTACCAGTATCAGAGGGGGAAAATCACTATCAGGATAGTGACTAGTCTATCTAATGGAAAAGTAGCTACTAGTGAGCAAACTTACTAATGAAAAAGATAGCGGTCATTATTGAATGACTTGCAAGTAATTAAAAAGTATCAGCAGCAACAATAGATGCTAGTTTGTTTTAAGAAATAAATGTTAAATTGGCTTGCCATACGGCATATTAGTTTATTGACAGAGAGTGTTCATAATTCACGTGCGTTTATTATAGATAAACAGTCCTTTGAGTCCATTACGTAATGTGTCTTTGTTATCAGATATTAACCAATTTGCGTCATTTTAGCGCTGCAGGAAATCTGCGCTCCCATAACCGTTCTGAGGTCAGCCACAAAGGCAGTTATTAGCGAATTTAAAGGCGCCCCCTTCACAGAGCGTCCGGTTAGTGATCAGGCTCCGGCACGCTTGAGCGCGCAGAGTGTGTTCGTGCAGTGACAGTCTTATGTAAGCCGCGCAACACAGAGCCACGATGTCCGACGCTGCTGCTCCAGCAGACAACAACGGGGAGCCTGGGTTAAACGGTATGTACAGCCGGAGCACCTGGCTGTGTTGTTCTGACATCTATCAAATCTGTTCGAGAAGCCTTTGGCTTGTCTGTATTGGTGTTTTTTTTAATACTTTAAATTATTTCACTTAATGTAAACTGCGCTTTTTTTTAGTTCCAGTCAACATTTCTGAGGGCGGGGTTTGCGGCAATACATGTTTATTGACAAGCTTTCTGTCCAATGGCTGTTGAGATTGTGTTTGGAGGCGGGTCTTAAAAAGTGATTGACTATAACCTAAACCAATAGTGTGGTTATATGTTTTCAGTAGGCTGGCCAAAGAAGATGTCAACAAGGCGAGAACTAGAGCAACTCGAAAATGGAGATTGTGGATGCTTGAAATACCATTTTAATTCGTTTAATATATATGTAACATATACCTTCGTTTCTCCGGTGTGTTTATGAGAAGTGGCTCAAAGAAAAAGTGTGTTGTTCATATTTGTTTGACATGTAACGCATGACATGTGGCAGCAAATAAGGTCTTTGTGTGAACTGCGAGGTTGCAAACAAACTGGTCTATGCATTGGCTTCTGACCACTTAGATTTAACTTGTTAATTAGTATTTAATTCACGAAAAACCGTATAAAACGAAAATGAAATCGAAAAAGTAAACGCCGAAAAAGTAGCCATCTACAGTAGAGCCAGACCATAAACAAAGAGTTCATTATTATCATACAGTATGTGTGGATTTGCTAAAAACATAATTTGTCAGCCTACTATTTAAAATCCACATTAGTTCATTCGTTATTAAATATACAATGTTTGGTTAGAACATGAGTGGGGATTCCTAAAGATGCGCTAAAGTTACAGGAGACTCATAAATCATATTACTGGTATGCTTTCTGAAATGCAAAGAGCTGACAGCGAAGTCTCGATATCTAAATATTATTAAGACCACTAATTTTGAACAGTGTACTTAAACTGGCATACAGTGTAAACCACCAATATTAATGTACTGCTGAGTGAGCTACGTGCGCGCTGTGACCAAAGCTAGTTAAGCCTCACTATAGTCCCCACAGCCGAGCCTGGTTCAGGACGCCAGTTCATAAATTCTACTATGATAAAGGCTTGAGTCATGAATATTAATTAGTAGTGAGCCAGTAAGCCTTGCTGATTGGCTGAAAGGCAGACGCTGGAGGCTAACGTTAGTCAGCTGACCAGTTACCTAATGGAAAAGGCTCGCGTAATGAATATAAATTAGGCTAAGTGACCTAACGGTGCAGGGAAGTTCAAAGCAGTGTCAGTAGAATTTAGTTAATATTCATGATTATAATTTCATCATATAGTAGTACTCGTAATTCTACTTTTCACACTGCACATAACCCTGGTTTAAGACCATTTTATTACCTCAATGAATTCTGTGGCCAGTTTTTCATTCTATAGATGTTGAAACTGTATCATCAGCACCACAGCCCAATTATCTCATAAAACTCTTGGTTTCCCAAAGATGAGGCAGACTTCCTTGACCAGATCTCAGTGCAGTGATGTGATGGCCGCAGTTTTCTCAGCCACTACAGGTGCATCTCAATAAACGAGAATGTCGTGGAAAAGTTAATTTATTTCAGTAATTCAACTCAAATTGTGAAACTCGTGTATTAAATAAATTCAAGCTGAAAACTAGTGAATTGAAGAGACTGCCTAGGGAAAGTGAAATTACATCTTAATGCTGACCAGATTCTTTTAGTTTAACAGATGGGCAAATGTAGACTCAGCTTACAGTGTTTGTTTGACAAATTGGATGTGTCTGGCTGTGTACTAGACATGATGACTACTAGCTGGAGGATGTGTGAAGAGACTTTGCCCACAGCCACAGCCAGAATCTCTCAAAACCAGTCAAGAACATGTCCGGTCATATTTCTTCCATAAAATCAAAAGAACAGATGGACGAACAGAACGAACACGTACATTTTTAGTGGCGAACTGGTTTTAAACTGTTTTTTCTTAAACGCTGTTGATAATCTTCTGTATTTGTTTAGTAATTAACAGTTTAAGCATAAATTATGGCTTTTAAATATAATGTTAATTAGCTACAATTACTTTTCTATTCAGATATATATAAAAAAAAGCAATGATGCTTTAGTGTTTCATAAATAAGCCTCTGTAATACAATCATCTAATCTTTGATCTCTGTATATTTCCTGATGACAGCCAAAGTAATGTTCCACTGTTGGCCAGAATGTTCAGCTTGCCATAGTAACACTGTTTGTGTCAGTGGATTGAGACAAAGGTCAGTCGTCTCTAGCACAGCCGAATTCACATGTTTCTCACTCAGGATGGGACAGAGATGTGCATGCTCGTCCATACTGATGGGAAGATCGAGTAGAGTCAAAGCAGGACCCATGTCACATGATCTATGTTTGCTCAACCCAAGGAAGTCATGTGGACCTTCTTTGTCTTCCTCTTTTTGTTTTCCTGGGAGTGGCTCGCGAGGCATTCGGTTTATACTTAGCTCATCCTGGTTGGTCAGCAGTGTGCGCTGGTTAAGCCGGTGGTAAACAGAGGACTGACTGTGCAATAGCACAGACGTTTCTGATGAGACAGCACAGCAGATGTGGGTGAAAGGGGAACACGGAAAGCTTAACCGTGCTCGTCCCTGACTCATGTATGAAAGGAGTCTGTGTGTTTGTGTTGATCAGGCCATGTGCTCAAGGAGTGTGTCCCTGCTCAGACTCACGTAGAGCACGTGGCGGTCAGGTCAGGTGACTCGTATATCAGTGAGCTTAATGAGTCTGAGAGGGAGGCATTTACTGCCCTTTCACCACACAGTAAATAGAAGTTAAGCCAGACCACCAATGGTTTACAGGGAAATCCCACTGTCTGTCACCGTCTGCCTTGGTTCATACAGTGGATGCAATATCATTTCCAGGCCACATTTAACTCCAAAATCAGATATTTTGATTTTATGACTATTCAGATTTGCATTGCAGTATTTATTATTTTATTTTATTTTCCCTGTCAGATTGTCTTTACCATAATCCATAAACAACCTGACATTTAGCTTTTGTAATTGATATCAATGTAGATTTTTTTTACAATTATTATTTTTGTATTACATTTAAAAATTCACATTCAAATGTATGTAAATAATTTTGTCTTGAGTTTTTATATAGAAGTCCAAGCTTTGACCAGGGTTACATTTACTGGATAAAAAATACAGTAAAAAACAGTAATAGTGTGAAATATTATTTCCATTTAAAATAACTCTTTTCTATTTGAATATATTTTAAAATGTAACTTATTCCTGTGACGCAAAGTTGAATTTTCAGCATCATTACTTCAGTCTTCAGTGTCACATGATCCTTCGGAAATCATTCAGATAGGCAGATTTGCTGCTTAATAAACATTTCTTAAAATGATCAATGTTCAAAATGTTCAATTTTTGTGGAAACTGGTATGCCTTTTTCAGGATGCTTTGATGAATAGAAAGTTTAAAAGAAAAGCATTTATTTGAAATAGAAATCTTTAGTCACCTACATGACTTTTCAGAGTTTGATTATAATTTTAGTAGCAAATATTGAAATGATCTGCAGTATAAACACTATGACCTCTTTCTAAGCTGATAAAAAAAACAAAAAGCTTTTATTTAAAAATGACAAACAATAGGCCAATCCCACATGTTCTTGCTTTTGATGTTTGTCCTGCGTCAGATGGGCGTCTTTGGTCATTGCATCATGACTTTATTCTTTTTATTCAATGTCTTTTACTGTGAGCACCATACAATAAATTCGATACACTGTAAATAATATATGTTACTTTTCTGCATTAAATAGTAATGAAAATTAGTGGGGGGATTTTTCCACGTTACAATGGGGGGTAAAAAAGTCTTAATGGCTTTATCTTTGAGTAAAGTATGATTTCTAAATTCAAGACAAAATATTAGGTTCTGTGTGATTTGGTAAACTAAATAAAATAAAAAATAATAAAATAATGAATTGTTATAAGCTTTATTTAAATGTTATAAGCTTTAATATATATATATATATATATATATATATATATGCTTTATTGTTGTTGTGATTGTGTTGTTATGATTTTGTTTAGGGTCATGGGTAGAGCTGGAGATGAACAGAAATGCCGCATCTCTCTCTTCCTCCAGCCTCTCAGTGCCGCCCCCTCTAGCCCAAGTAGTAGAGGAGGATGTTGGGATTGTGGGCGGGCTTGAACACGTTCCCTCATCATCTTCCATCCACAATGGAGACATGGAAAAAATCCTGCTAGATGCCCAGCATGAATCCAGCCGCAGTAACTCCTCATGCGACAGGTAGACACCATATTTATGTCACATTATGTCTTATTAATGCCACAAAATAAAAATTCTCTCATTATGCACTCACCCTAACAAATCAAACCTAACACAAGCCAAGTTTGAATTTTAGCAAGCATGAATGAGAACTGAGTGGTATTGAGAAAACATACAACACGAGACAGAATTTAAATTTTTAGGTGAGCTATCCCTTTAAGATGTTGTTTACATAGTCCACATGTTTGCATATCATCTGAAAATGTCACATGAGTTCACAGCTTGAGTTTAATGACCTCATAGATAAAGAGCAGTGCTATAAACATCCATACCAAATTTCACGTGGTCACACTACACAGTAAATAGAAGTTAAGCCAGACCACCAATGGTTTACAGGGAAATCCCACTGTCTGTCACCGTCTGCCTTGGTTCATACAGTGGATGCAATATCATTTCCAGGCCACATTTAACTCCAAAATCAGATATTTTGATTTTATGACTATTCAGATTTGCATTGCAGTATTTATTATTTTATTTTATTTTCCCTGTCAGATTGTCTTTACCATAATCCATAAACAACCTGACATTTAGCTTTTGTAATTGATATCAATGTAGATTTTTTTTACAATTATTATTTTTGTATTACATTTAAAAATTCACATTCAAATGTATGTAAATAATTTTGTCTTGTCTTATATAGAAGTCCAAGCTTTGACCAGGGTTACATTTACTGGATAAAAAATACAGTAAAAAACAGTAATAGTGTGAAATATTATTTCCATTTAAAATAACTCTTTTCTATTTGAATATATTTTAAAATGTAACTTATTCCTGTGACGCAAAGTTGAATTTTGAGCATCATTACTTCAGTCTTCAGTGTCACATGATCCTTCGGAAATCATTCAGATAGGCAGATTTGCTGCTTAATAAACATTTCTTAAAATGATCAATGTTCAAAATGTTCAATTTTTGTGGAAACTGGTATGCCTTTTTCAGGATGCTTTGATGAATAGAAAGTTTAAAAGAAAAGCATTTATTTGAAATAGAAATCTTTAGTCACCTACATGACTTTTCAGAGTTTGATTATAATTTTAGTAGCAAATATTGAAATGATCTGCAGTATAAACACTATGACCTCTTTCTAAGCTGATAAAAAAAACAAAAAGCTTTTATTTAAAAATGACAAACAATAGGCCAATCCCACATGTTCTTGCTTTTGATGTTTGTCCTGCGTCAGATGGGCGTCTTTGGTCATTGCATCATGACTTTATTCTTTTTATTCAATGTCTTTTACTGTGAGCACCATACAATAAATTCGATACACTGTAAATAATATATGTTACTTTTCTGCATTAAATAGTAATGAAAATTAGTGGGGGGATTTTTCCACGTTACAATGGGGGGTAAAAAAGTCTTAATGGCTTTATCTTTGAGTAAAGTATGATTTCTAAATTCAAGACAAAATATTAGGTTCTGTGTGATTTGGTAAACTAAATAAAATAAAAAATAATAAAATAATGAATTGTTATAAGCTTTATTTAAATGTTATAAGCTTTAATATATATATATATATATATATATATATATATATGCTTTATTGTTGTTGTGATTGTGTTGTTATGATTTTGTTTAGGGTCATGGGTAGAGCTGGAGATGAACAGAAATGCCGCATCTCTCTCTTCCTCCAGCCTCTCAGTGCCGCCCCCTCTAGCCCAAGTAGTAGAGGAGGATGTTGGGATTGTGGGCGGGCTTGAACACGTTCCCTCATCATCTTCCATCCACAATGGAGACATGGAAAAAATCCTGCTAGATGCCCAGCATGAATCCAGCCGCAGTAACTCCTCATGCGACAGGTAGACACCATATTTATGTCACATTATGTCTTATTAATGCCACAAAATAAAAATTCTCTCATTATGCACTCACCCTAACAAATCAAACCTAACACAAGCCAAGTTTGAATTTTAGCAAGCATGAATGAGAACTGAGTGGTATTGAGAAAACATACAACACGAGACAGAATTTAAATTTTTAGGTGAGCTATCCCTTTAAGATGTTGTTTACATAGTCCACATGTTTGCATATCATCTGAAAATGTCACATGAGTTCACAGCTTGAGTTTAATGACCTCATAGATAAAGAGCAGTGCTATAAACATCCATACCAAATTTCACGTGGTCACACTGACCTCATGCTGATAGGATGGCCATAATAACCCTTTCTCACTCAAACTCAGTGAGTCATATGATTCTGGATGTTTACTGTAGGAATACAGTGTTTCTCTCTCATATGGATACAGACTAATGCTCTCTCAAACACTGCAGAGTTCACACAAAAATGAAAACTATGTCATTCCAAACCTGTATGACTTTCTTTGTACTATGAAACACAAAAAGAGATGTTTAGCAGAATGTCCAAGCTGCTTTTTTTTCCATACAATGAAAGCGATTGGTCATTTATGTTGCCCAAAAAGGACAAAATTGCTGCAAATTTTGAAAAGCTTTGTGTTTATACGAAAGCTTTGTGTGAGGAACAGAATGCAATTTAAGTCATTTAAATGACAATTCTTAAAGCAGCACTATGTAACTTTTTCTGTCTTCAAAATTTGCAAAATGTATATAATGAGCGAGTACATCATGAATTAATCGTCTTATTCTGAATCACTACAGTACACTTATAATAAGCACTTATATTTGGACTATTGTAGCCTGGTCGGGTCGTCACCGCTGCGGAGGAACACATACCTGCGTGAATCGCCATATACATAAACTTAGAGAAGTAGCTCCGGTTGGAATGTTCTTCCGCGGGATGTGTGCAGTCCTGTTTATTAACCGCTAGAGCGCCAAAAGTTACATATAGTGCTGCTTTAAAGGGATAGTTCAGCCAAAAAATGAAAATTACCCCACGATTTACTCATCCTCAAGCCATCCTAGATGTATATGGCTTTCTTCTTTCAGACGAATACAATCTGAGTTATATTTAAAAATGTCCTGGCTTTTCAGCTTTATAATGGCAGTGAATGGGTGGTAATATTCAATAGTCCAATAGAAGTCCAATAAACTGCGTCCATCCATCATAAAAAGTGCCCCACACGGCTCCGGGGGTTAATAAAGACCTTCTGAAGCGAATCGATGCGTTTGTATAAGAAAAATATCAATTTTTAAAACTTTATAAACCATAAAACCATCTCTAGCTTCCGCTAACTGTTGTAAGTGCGTTCACGAGAGAGTGACGTTCCAGTAGGACATGGGCGTAGCGCAAGCTCCAGTGAGAAGTGACGGATGAACACAGATAAACATAACTGCTCTCTCCCACAGCCCTCCTCGACCTCACAGTCCTCAGGATGAAGGCCAGATCATTTTCGACGTAGACATGAGGAGGGACAGTCAGGTACTTCCTCTTGAGAACGTTGTGGATTATCTAATTTATGGAACGCACTCTGGCTTCACTTAATTACCTGTCTGAGCTTGTATTTGGGTGTGTGTCTGTGTCCACTCAGGAGGAAGTCATGGAGAAGATCAGAGATGATGACATCTTAATGAAGGATTCAGACTGGGTGGCAGACTGGTCAAGTAGACCAGAGAATATTCCGCCTAAGTAAGCACCAGTGAGGACTTACATACAATGTTATTTAGTGTCTTTCAGATAATATTATAGTTTTTATTCATATTTAATTTTTATGCCCATTTTCATTTTAATTATACTGTTTTTGTAAGTTTTGTAAAAAAAAATTTAAATCAATTTTTATTTCAGTTTAAGATTTAGTACATCCAGTTAACTAAATGAAAATGAGAAATGTTATCTTGACAACTAGCTTGCTAGCTTTTGTTTGTGTTAGTGTTAATTTCGTTAACGAAGACTGACAAAAAATGTTTGTTAACAAGCTTTTTTCCCATGACTAAGATGAGACGAAGAAGAGACGATAATAAGGTCCATAAACGATAACTAAGACTATATCAACATGCAATTTCGTTGACGAAATAAGACGAGACTAAAATGTATTCAAAAAGATAAAAACTTGACCAAAAACCTCTTTTTATTTTCGTCAAAAAAGGAGACAAAATGTTATTGTGGACTGCTCTACATGCCTCTACTACGCGAGCTCTCATGAGTGCGGTTGCCAGATATCAAGAGTTCTAATCCCCGAATCAGAGCTTTGCTGTTACATTAGCAATGTTTCCATCCAAAGATGCGAATGTGGAAAACTGGAATATCGCATAAAACATTTGCGAATAAAGCACAGAACAAAATCGTCACTTCCTGATAAACTGGCACTAAATATCTCTAAGAAAACTAGGAGAAGCCATTGAATATAATAATTTTCATATGTAATAAATTACTTGCGCCTCAGAGAGAGCAGACGTAACAATAAATGCTGTCATTGCTTTTAGAGGTGGATGCCTGCTGTCTGGGAACGCAGTCATGTAAGACAGTAATTATACAGAAATACTTTGATGACAGACTTTCCTCAGGTATTTCAGAATGGCCAAATCAACATATAGTTCCCCTTCAGGAACTCGAGCTGTGTCGAGACACTTTGTTCTGAAGCACGTGTCAAATCCGTCCAATGGAGCAGCGAGACATCACGAGCAGGGTGACGTAAGCACCAGAAAGCATAAAAGCACATCCGGCCGGGCGCAAACCAGCTTCTGCTCTTCAGTAGCGCTCTGTGTATGTGTCTGTCTATTTACTGTTGTCTGTCTGCACAAGCACTCATATTTATAAAACAATGAGACGTCTATGGCGAGTGAACGGCATTACAAACGCTGTGTTTCTCCCTGCCCGTGATATCTGGCGGCGGGGGATACACACGATTTGTGTGTCGTTTGTTTAGGAGCGAAGCATGCACGGTCAGCTTTCGAGCAGCTGATTGTCATCACTGCGAGCTCTCGCTGCGCACGCTCCGCTCTCGCCTGGCTGCGTTTGATGACAGCGGCCAGGCTCGCGATCCCGCTGGCAGCGGTCCCGCTGTTGCTGAGGCACAGCGCAGACTGTTGTGGTGGGGATCGCGGGTGGATTTAGCGGAGGGATCCGAGACGGGCTCGTCCTTTTCTCGGTCCTCACCCGCTAGATCCGCGTCTCTCTCTCTCGCGGCCCCCCCCCCACCCCCGCCCCCAGAGAGAGAAAGAGCCAGACACTTCATCTATCTTCCTCCGAGGAGGTGGATGTGACGAGTGTCGAGACAGAGGAGACTGTGGACTCGCCACCTTATTTCAGTTTAAGATTTAGTACATCCAGTTAACTAAATGAAAATGAGAAATGTTATCTTGACAACTAGCTTGCTAGCTTTTGTTTGTGTTAGTGTTAATTTCGTTAACGAAGACTGACAAAAAATGTTTGTTAACAAGCTTTTTTCCCATGACTAAGATGAGACGAAGAAGAGACGATAATAAGGTCCATAAACGATAACTAAGACTATATCAACATGCAATTTCGTTGACGAAATAAGACGAGACTAAAATGTATTCAAAAAGATAAAAACTTGACCAAAAACCTCTTTTTATTTTCGTCAAAAAAGGAGACAAAATGTTATTGTGGACTGCTCTTCATGCCTCTACTACGCGAGCTCTCATGAGTGCGGTTGCCAGATATCAAGAGTTCTAATCCCCGAATCAGAGCTTTGCTGTTACATTAGCAATGTTTCCATCCAAAGATGCGAATGTGGAAAACTGGAATATCGCATAAAACATTTGCGAATAAAGCACAGAACAAAATCGTCACTTCCTGATAAACTGGCACTAAATATCTCTAAGAAAACTAGGAGAAGCCATTGAATATAATAATTTTCATATGTAATAAATTACTTGCGCCTCAGAGAGAGCAGACGTAACAATAAATGCTGTCATTGCTTTTAGAGGTGGATGCCTGCTGTCTGGGAACGCAGTCATGTAAGACAGTAATTATACAGAAATACTTTGATGACAGACTTTCCTCAGGTATTTCAGAATGGCCAAATCAACATATAGTTCCCCTTCAGGAACTCGAGCTGTGTCGAGACACTTTGTTCTGAAGCACGTGTCAAATCCGTCCAATGGAGCAGCGAGACATCACGAGCAGGGTGACGTAAGCACCAGAAAGCATAAAAGCACATCCGGCCGGGCGCAAACCAGCTTCTGCTCTTCAGTAGCGCTCTGTGTATGTGTCTGTCTATTTACTGTTGTCTGTCTGCACAAGCACTCATATTTATAAAACAATGAGACGTCTATGGCGAGTGAACGGCATTACAAACGCTGTGTTTCTCCCTGCCCGTGATATCTGGCGGCGGGGGATACACACGATTTGTGTGTCGTTTGTTTAGGAGCGAAGCATGCACGGTCAGCTTTCGAGCAGCTGATTGTCATCACTGCGAGCTCTCGCTGCGCACGCTCCGCTCTCGCCTGGCTGCGTTTGATGACAGCGGCCAGGCTCGCGATCCCGCTGGCAGCGGTCCCGCTGTTGCTGAGGCACAGCGCAGACTGTTGTGGTGGGGATCGCGGGTGGATTTAGCGGAGGGATCCGAGACGGGCTCGTCCTTTTCTCGGTCCTCACCCGCTAGATCCGCGTCTCTCTCTCTCGCGGCCCCCCCCCCACCCCCGCCCCCAGAGAGAGAAAGAGCCAGACACTTCATCTATCTTCCTCCGAGGAGGTGGATGTGACGAGTGTCGAGACAGAGGAGACTGTGGACTCGCCACC